CCTATCATTCAAGTGGGAGGATTCCTAACCTTAACTTAAAAGAAAAAACAAACAAAATACACTTCAAGTACATGTTGGATTTAATTCCTTCCAAGGTTCTTGTTCCATTTTTTTTCTGAAATTTTGCATTATTTTCACCTTGTTTTTTTTTTGGTTTTGGATTACCTGAGAGAATATCATTCCACTTCTGGTACAATTCAAACTGGTGGATTAAATTAAAACTAAGGAAAATTTTGAACCTTCAACATATAAACTAACAGTTACATGGCAACTCAGAGTCAGACCCAACTGGCAATAACATTTTCAATTACTGACAAAAACTTCAAACATGCCAAAAGAAACTGTATGTAGAAATCAAGTTAAGTGGTGAACACAAGTTAAACCTAGTCCAACACTTAACAGATTATCAACAATGATAAAACTAATGATACCAAACAACAATGGTGGTAAGGCCAAAGAAGAGGAAAAGAATGACAAAATATCAGAACTTAATACCACAGAATAAGAAAATGTTGAAATTCCCAGCCATGGGATTTCCAGTTATATAAGAAGCATTACGAATTGTCCCAAAGAGGCTGGAATAGAATATTGTGAAAATTGCTGTGGATAACTCAGTTGAACTCAAACAAAAAAATTACTCTTTTGATATTCTTCTGTTAAAGAAAAGCATTTTCCTGTATTTTGGAGCAGAAAGTACCATGCCTCTGTAGCCATTAAGTTATCATTTCCATAATTAATTAAAACTGGATTTGATGCATCCATCAAAAAGTAAATTAGTTCCATATGCAAATTGTAATCTTTAACTTATTAAATCTTTACATCTGCTCACCATTCATTAGATAGTGTCATCAGTGTTTAGATGTACATATATAATCATTCTGTACAAACACAAATCAAAATTCTAAGGAGAAGTGTGCCAGGTTGAATCTTGAGAGATCAACCCTCTCCTTTTGCCAGTTACTTGCACATTAACTCGTAAAATTGCTAGGCCTTTTGAGCACAACATTACTTTTTGTGATGCATTCTGTGCTGAAACCCCTTCTTGGCTGATGATGATGAAAATGGTAAATGAGGTGTATAATAGAAAAGTAAATTGTTGTTTAATTTTCAGGAGACATACATGTATAAAGAAAATATGGAAAGGTAATTTGAACTTAATTCTGTCTGAGATTTGGAAAGCAGCAGGCTTAAGTCATCTTAACAGCCTGTCAAATCACAAGGTACCCTGCCTTCAAGGAAATCCCTACAATATTAGAGTCTACCTCTGTTCTATGGTTCATTTGTGGAAATTTTGAAAAAAAAAAAAAGAAAAAAAGAAATTTTGAAACTTTACAACAAACATTTCAATAGCAATAACTACCATTAATGCAGATGCACATTACATAACTACAAAGAGAAATTGCAAAGTGAAAGTATCTTAAAACTAAATAAATTGCATGACCTAAAGCAGTTTACATCACACAAACTTCCACAACAAAGGTTACAGTAATTGTTGTCCTCGATGACACATGTATGTGATGAATTTAATCCACCTAGGCTTCCTGTGCACAAAGATCTGTTACCAGTTATTTCAGAAACAAGCAACAACAAGAAGACATGTTCAATCATGAAAAATGCAATATGGGTGACTTTTAGGCTGACTCCACTTTGGCCACATGTAAAACTGATTCCTTTGGTAACAACTATTCATTTTCTTTAAGTTATGGTTTTAAGTAGGCAAAGGTAAATAATGGAGAGAAAGATAAAACAACTATGACACCTACACATTAACTGCAAACGTCAATTGGATCATATTACTCAGCGTGAAAACTTCGCTTTCTCTTGTTCATCCAGGTGAGTCAAAGATCTTATCGAGCAAGAATACATTCAATACACAAACATTTTAAAATGATCTTCAGAACGTCTGTCAAAGTTGATTTTAACAGATGTTGATAGAAATAACATGTGCGAAAAAATATTCAAACAAGTTTTTCATTTTTGTATACATGCAATAGCGTTTTAGAGAGCTACAAAGCATATTAACGTTCCTGGGAACAGAGTCAAACTCTGTACACCCATCAAGAAATAGATAGCTGAAAAAACTGTCGCCAACAAACGTTTTATCGCTGCTCTCAATTTAGTCAAACTTTCCTGACAAAATAAAGCAGAAAACTAGTCAACATATTGCCCGATTCAATTGGCCACAGAAAAGAACAACACTGATAGTTAAATCCGAAATGAATAAAGCGCTTCACGAATATAGAAACGTTGCGAAAGTAACAATGTTTTCATTGTTTCTGGTTTCATAACACAGCCACGGGTGAAAATAGCGAGATAGGAGAATTTTACCCCGGGAAACAACCAGATTACGGAAAAGGTGCACAAATCGCTGAGCAATGATATAGGTGGAAATAACACCTTTGAAAGTAGCAACATTTCTTTCTTGATCGGTCAACCACCGGGTATTTCATCGAAGCAGTCAACACATAAGGCAAGGAAGCTTTCAAAAAAACTGAAATGAAACGCTGTATCTCATAAACAAACCCATAGTTAGAATTTTTTCCAGTTTAATGAAATACTTGGTTCGATGCTATCAGAGAAAGTTTCAGTATACTTCATTACTCTGTGCAGTTTGCTCGATTATAGGTTGACTTTGCAAACACTTTTATTCTGTAGTTTTAAGAAAACCGTCATCGTACAAAAATGATTCCTATGAAAATAACGAAAAAATACCTCAAGTTTTATAAAAACATTAGCCGACTTCGCCAAAGCTACGCCAAACAACCGGAATTGCTTGGCGAGGTCCATTACCTAAGCACAAAGACAGTTGAGCTTATTACAGGTGTAAATAGACTTGCAAAATACATCAGTGCTTAAGCATAAATTTTAAAAAGATACGCTGAAAGATGAAACGTTAAAAGGGAAACAGTTACGTTTGAACAGTTGAACTGATATCAACATTCTACAGATCATGAACATCGCTTAATTCGTTTTAAATCGAGACCAAAACAAGAAAATTTGTCAAAAATTGTGCAAAAACAAAGAATAAACCACAAATGCAGACACCAAATTTTCCAATCAGCTTTGATACGCGTGTATTGCGGTAATTTTTCAAAACTTATTCGCATAAACAGTTTAGGAATTGTTCGCTTGAACATCAGAACAAATTCCACAGAGGTCCTGGCCCTCACTGACTTCCGTAAAATAACAATTAAGAAGGAAGCAGAAAAGATCGCACATTCTGTAGCACGAGGATGAAAGGAAATCAAGGCATCACACTGAAGATTATTACTGCGGAATTACCACATCACGAATAATTTAGGGCACAAATGTAGGTGGGACTAATATCTTTACTTCTGTTTCTCGCTTCGGCAGAATACGAGCAACAGTTTAGCGCTATTTCGAGAGAGAAAATAGCTTCAGCTCCAAAATCAAACACAATACTCACTTGCACAAACGACGAAAAAGCAGTGGAATAACCACAAACCAGCCGCTAAGCTCCTAAAACCCATCATAACTCCACAGAGCAAGATGGTGGATTCAAACAATATGCAGACCTTAAACCACGCTCGGTAAGTCACGTGATCATTTGCAGACGCTTCGTTGCTTACATTCCTTGTTATTCAATTATATGGTTTGCTATTGGCCGAGCCACGCAGGAGTTCGTATTCTGATTGGTCGAATCTTACTAAAATTTGAATACAACAAGGTGGGGCATGGTCACGAAATGTCACGCAATGTGTCATTTGGAAAGGGGCCATTCTCGTGATCCTCATTTAAAAAGTTCAAGGATGTGAATGCTGTGTGAATGAATCTCGTGACGGAAAACCGTCGCTGGTAATGATTTACACGTAGAAACGTGTTCAGCTCATATCCTTAGGGAAGCTACTGTAGTCATTGCAAAACTTGCACCTAAACAAGGCGAGTAATTTACGAGGGCTTTGTTACCTCACCTGAAACTCTTGAATGGAAATCTAGACGTTTAGCAGATACCTCCTACCACAGACCCGTATCTCTCCAAGCAGCAGTTCGAGAATCCTCGAATTTTTTTTAGCATCAACCAGTTTTTGGCTCTCTGAGAGACCACAAACTCATTTTTCAGTGTCAATTTGGTTTCTGGCTTCTGATGATTACCTCACTGACGGGCTCTTTCAGTGTTAAAAATGCTCTTTAGAGAAACATTGACCACGCACTGCCTACATGACTATTCTTTTTAGATTTGATCAAGATCTCTAACTTCGATATTCTCTTTAGGGACTTATTTCACTTGCTTTTCGTCCTCCGGCTGAGTAGTGGTTCCCACCCAACCTCTAAAACCGCCCTTATTTTACGTGCGAGATCGGAATACTAGGAAACCAGGGAAATCGTTTTTAGCGTCCCAGAAGGTTCCATCCTTTGTTCCTTGCTTTTCATTTTATACATCAAAAACCTTCCAGCAGTTACTGACTATTGCACAGTGAAAATATAAAGTAATTTAGGCGCACTGTGAAAATAATAGCTCTGCAAGGACCCGTTTCTTGAAAGTCCCGGTAACATAACGGGCCCGAATTCATATTTTAAAATAAAAAATCCAAAGAATATAGAATCACGTTCTGTCACCATAACCAGTCCATTTTCCCCTTTAGCTGTTAGTTTAATGCTTTCTTCTCGTGAATAGATGCTCTTAAAAAATGGCCATTTTCAAGGTCATGATTTAAAAAAACGTTTTATGAAATAATTCAAATAGTACGCGCGCTCTGATTGGCCATAAAACCATTTTACATGTGCGTATGTAAACAAGCGTATACAAGTTTTGCAGAATATTTCGTTCCTCTTTCATTAGTTATTTTATAAAAGAAATGTAAAATGGTTTCCGTGTTTACATAGCCTGATGTAAACACTTGGGAGGTTGGGAGAACACTCGATAAGCTGGAAACCACTCCGCTTCGCATCGTGGTTTCCTACGCTTATCTCGTGTTCTCCCAACCTCCCGCGTGTTTACATCAGGCTATGTAAACACGGAAACTATTTTACATTTCTTCAATGTAAGCCCTGCTGAACAATTCAGTATGAGCTTCTTTTGCAATCTTTTTACATTGAACGATTAAGTCACAGCAGGTGGCAAAGTCATTGTGTTCCAGACACGGAAGGTTTACACCGACGAAGTTAGATGCTCTTCACTCTGATCGCTGTCACGCAGTTCGTCATGTAAAGGAGATGCATGGAATATGTCTTCTAATGTCTCCAAGGTCCGCCGTCCAAGGGTCTCCGGAAGAAGACCACACAAGCACCCAGAGGCACAAGCAAAGCCACTCATCACAGCAAATGGGATCACGGGGTGAGTTTTGTCCTGTTGAAATAGAAGAAGAACATTAAAGATGGAGCAAATGGGCTTGTTCGAACAAAAACAACTCTTGAACGACACGCATAAACCTGAACTGGTAACTTAAGAGCAATGTTGGAGAGTTACTGTAAGTAAGCGAGACACCAGTACTTCAAGAGAGTCACTCTCAGAATATACTTGTTCAGACTAGGTTGTTACTCGCGTATGGTAGACGGCTGAAGATCAGGACACCTTTCCTCTCGAAACCTTTTCTGTTTCATTTCATAAACAAAGCCCGAAACGGGGGTCGCAGCCGCTGAAAAGAAGGTAAGATCTTTTCTTCATTAAAGAAAATGTAAATATCTATGTGTTAGGGTTAGGGTTAGGTTAGCTTAGGGTTAGGGTTAGGGTTAGGGTTAGGGTTAGGGTTAGGGTTAGGGTTAGGTTAGGGTTAGGGTTAGGGTTAGGGTTAGGGTTAGGGTCAAATCTAAAACTCTAAATATGCGTTCAAGTTCTCCTCGCAATATTAAACAGTAAAAAGAGTAAAGGGGGTAAATTTATAAAGAAACTGTGGTGCTGTGTCGGTGGGAGAGTATAGCAGGTAATTTAGTGTT